CTGAAGGAGAGCCCAGGGAGGTCAAGCCCACTCCAGGGTGACCAAGGTTAGGCTGCCATATTGAGTCTAGGGTCCACCCTTCTTGTCACATGTATACCCCTAGTCCCTCCCCTTCCTATTATGTGTACACCCCTAGCTCATCCCCTTCCTGTTATGCTTATGCCTATTGTACAACCCCTTCCTGTTCTTTACCTGTAATTGGGGGGCATGCACGTCCCCAAAGATATATAAGCCTTGGTTAGCAATGAATTTCTCTCACGCCCTTGCTCTCTCCTGTCCTCTCTGCCGTGCTGTGCATGGACCTGGCTGTTGAGATCATGGCTGTCCAGGAGGTGAGCATGCTACCATGAGATGTGTCTGACTCCTTCATGTTACTCTCTCTCTGATCTCTCCTATTACTCGAGACTTTACGATAAGCTATATAGGTATTTTAAACGTACAACTGCACCTATGGAACCCATGATTAGTTGTAGGGGGCTGGCTTCCCCCACACATAGTGACCCACTGCTGACCAAACGTATGGCGAAAGAGTAGCAGCTCTTGCCCAGAAAGCAGGAACAAGGCAAGGCTGCCCACTCCCACACGGCTACGCGTGGTCCCAGAGGTCCTGGGGTGCCAGTGCAGCACGAAGAAGACAGAGAAGACACCCAGACCAGAAGGCAGGAAGCAAAGCCCCACGGACATGCAGTCAGCGGCGCCTACAAAAAGGCTTCCAGAACTAGGACGCCAGGTTAGCAAGGACAGGATCCAAATCCAACAGACGATAATCATGGGGTTATCCACACCAGCCATGGCATTACACGTGGAGAAAGGAAAAATAAATTAAAATGGAGAGTGCTACTGCACTCAGAGGACTCAATTTCAATTCTCCCCAGATTGCGCAATAGCGTCAATGGCATCCCAGCAGGGCTTTTTTTCTTAATAGGGTAGAAAAACTTGAAGTTCATTCTAAAATTCATATAGAAATACAAAGGATCTAAAACAGCTGAACAGCTTTTAAAAGGAGAAAAACGTTGGAGAACAATCTAGTAGTATGGTAATAAAGAACATGACATTAAGACAAATAAAAAGCAAAAAACACTGAAACAAGAGAGAACCCAGAAATAGAACCCCACATTAAAAAAATTAATAAGTCCATAAGCAACCCAAAGGACAACAAAACCAAGCTGAGAAGGGAAACGGGAGGTGTGGACACAGCATGCAGCACACGCTTAGCCAGAAGACAACACTGTACAGGATGCGTCTCCTCTTCCGGCTCTTCTACCCACGTCTCTAACTCCCACTGATGACTGAGGAGACTGTGGACACAGGGCACTCATCAGTTTGTGTTGCCATCCTCCGGCCTGTAGGGATGAGCCATCTTGGAAGCCACAGCAGAGACCGCTCAGAAGAGCAATACCAAGACTAAGTGTACCTACTCCGCATCTGACCAGAGCCCACAGGGACTGGGATAAGACCTAGAGATGACCTGGTTTCCTGGCCTCAGGACCGTGTGGCAGAGAGATGGAGACTTGGCTGCTGGCTGGAAGAGAGCTATTGCTATGGACCAATGACTGTATCTGTAGTGCTTGCTGATCCTGACTAGTGGTAACCTATTAACTTTCCTAATAAACCCTCTTAGTTATGAGTACTGTCTGCTCAAACAAGTTATTGCCTGGGGGACGGACAACAGAAAAGTGGGTGAAGGAAGACACTGGACAGTGTAAGACATGAAAAAATAAGAATAATTTATAAATTATCAAGGTTTCACGAGGGAGGGAGAATGAGGGAGGATGAGGGAAAAATGAGGAGCTGATACCAAGAGCTCAAGTAGAAAGAAAATGTTTTGAGAATGATGATGGCAACAAATGTACAAATGTGCTTGGCACAA